TAACTGAGACGATACGCACCGATTTGCACTGAATCTAAGAAAAAAGACGATACGCAATGAACGTGCGAACTACGCAATGATTAAAATTGAGCGTAGCTGCTATGGGAACATTTTCAATTTATAAATTTATAACTAATCAGAGTTCACTATATATTCACCTGGTTAGTTCATTAAATTAATTTTACTATTGTCATAAAACTTCTGAATCACAAATAAAACAATTGGCAAATGTCCTCGTGGTGACGATCAAACTAGCAAAAAAGCAGTGTGAGTTTGTCTAGAAATCCCAATGAAGTTTGTCTAAAAAAATGTCTAAATATCTTAATGAAACGAAAAATTCTTACTATCTTCTAAATAATATAAAATATAAAATTTTGCGCAGTTTTTCCTATGCTGAATCATCGATAAAAAATTATATATCAGTCCTTGTGTCATTTTTCTAGCAGCACATGAGACAGTCCACATATCATGAATTTAACGTTGATGAAAAAAATTAAAAATATGAATTTTTCTTTTTCATAAATCACACACGCCGTTATTTTTTCATAAAACACACACGCCGTCTACTTAATTCGACCCTGCGGACTTAAAATGAAAAATTTCAATATAAATATTCCACAACAAACCTTGAAGTGTTAACACTCTAACTTCACAAGGTAACTTTCTGGTGGAAGAAGTTCCAGGTTGCTGCTTAACCACAAGTTGTTGCGCGCGCGACAGGACGATGTGTTATGAACTAAAACTCACAGTTTACCGACCGTGGTTCCCACAGAGCCAGCATCTCTCACAGATGTTAACAACAGGTGTATGTTTACATCAGGTGGGTAATTATAACGCTGCATTCGTTTGTACACATCAACCGCGCTGGTATTATACCGTACCGCGCAAGTATTATACCGTTCGTCATTTTGCGTCCATACCTAGGGCTAATTGCGAATCTCATGCAGGCAACGTAAATTTGAGTACATAAAACACAAAATGATTTGTTTATAATTATAGAGATATAAACTCCATCGTACAGAGAAATGATTACGGTTGAGTATGATTATTCAAATATCATGAATCGTTTATTCAGTCGAATATAACCTCTCATTAAAAGCGGTGCGAAAGCGAAGGTAAAGTTCTGCTGAATGAGACGAGCTGAATATCAGCAAATGATTTCATGATTATTTCGTTGTGTTGATGTAGATACTTTGAAAGCTTGCTTTCTTTTGCAATCTTTTTTATTAATTAATAAATTTCATTCTTGAAAGATGAGTGTGAAAAAATCCTAATTGTGCCTATGGTATGAAATAAATATTCTATCGTCAAAGACTAGCATGGTTAGAAACCGTGAGTAATGAAACAAATTTTTTGTCTGTGTTGTAGCGATCATTAATCTTGAGATAAGAGCCCAGTCTTTCAATTTCATTTATATTGATCTAAATTCAAAAGGAACATTCAAAATAAAATATCTGCAAATAGTTTTTCATCTATATTCAATTTCACTCTCATTTTAAGCGAACTGTTTACGCCCGAAAGCAATACAGTCTTAGAACAATTTGAAAGATTCTGAACGCATAAACCCCAAGGCAAATTTTTTCCAACATCCAGAGACTAAATTCACATTTGCTGAAATGAATCTCCAGTTGGTGTTAAACCAATTAAATCAGAACGAATCAATTTTATTCAGTTATGTAGGATTAGATTCATAAGGACAGTCTGAGGGGCGGAAGCTCAAGATGAACGCTCAGTATGAGATGCGGTTCAACCCACCACCACCACCACCGCCGGCGCCGTACAAATTCCTCCAGGGTACACTGTCGCCCCGCCGATGGCTGGCACTACCGTCTTGAAGCCTGTAGCCATGCAGCGCCAGTCCAGGTCAGTCGAATCGAAGTCTTCGGTTGTGAACATGTAGGCATAGTCTGGGGGAGGGAAATGAATGGGTAACCATTATCTGGGGGAAGCCATAGTCTGGGGGATTAAAATAAATAGGTAGCCATAGTCTGCGGGAGTAGAATGAATAGGTAGCCATAGTCTGGAGGAGTAATATGAATAGATAGCCATAATCTAGATGAGAAAATAATCATAAACTTTCCAGGGCCCACGGATGGTAAAGTGTGCATGCAGCCGAAGTTAGAAGGAGTAGAGTGAACATATAGCCATGGTCTAAGGGAGTAGAGTGAAGATCTGTCTGTAAGGGATCGAACCCGCAGCAGATAGGCGCGGGTTCGATCCCAGCTCTGTGCGACAGTTCCTGGTCAGAATCGGCAAGCAGGCCGGGTGGTTAAGCACAGCAGAATTGTAGCAGTGAGTTGCGAGTTAGAGACCACAACAAGTTGTGAATGTTCTGCGATGCTATGAATCGGCGACAGGTCTAACGGCCTAAACAACGCTGAAACCGCTATATTCTGAAGCTCAAATTAAGCCTGTAGCCGCTTTATGGGGACTAAACTGAACAAAAAGACATAGTTTGGAGGAGTAAAGATGGACGCAAAGCAATGGCGGTAGTGAAAGAAGGCATAGTGGGTATTTACCTGCAGTGAAGGAGGGACGTAAACATATAGTTTATTGTGAATAAAATTATCGTTCCCTGAAAGTTAAAGTGAACATGAGAACAAATGCTTATTTATTGCGGTAGAATAAAAAAAAATATGTATGAAACCAACGTGGTCGAGGGGGTAAAGGTTCAAACGGAGTCACTCGTGAAAGACTCTACAAGGTAGAACTGAACAGATGCAATTTGAAGCATGTTATGTGCTGACCTTTGCGTTCTAAACATTAAAGTATGCACAAAATTCAATCAAAATCCAAAATATTAACTGGTCCTTTAAAATAGAGCAAAGGATGTATGAATGAAATGTATAGAATATATGTATAGAATGAAATGTATGGAATATACAATTATCATATACTGAATTGCATATTCTTCAGAGATTTTAGAAAAAAATAGTGAAAGAAGTCTAATAATCGCAACGAATTTAGTAAAATTCTGTAATAATAATAATAAAATGGTTAATAAATATGAGTAAGACTCACTAGTGTAGCCAAAGTTGAGGAATTGGCCTTGACAGCTCCTGAAGATGCCATAGTTAGTTCCCTTGCTCACGTACGCTAGAGACTTGGTGCCTGAGTCTGCGCCGAACACTGCAACGAAATATTAAGATTAAAAACTAAATAACAAATATAAAAAAATATAACTCAGTACTCACTGCAGTGAGTGACAGAGAAGGCATTTTCTCAAAATCGACGAAAACGTGAAGTCACGGACAGACAGACGGACGGTCGGACGGACATGGCGAGTAGAATAGGGCATTTTTTTCATAAATGAGAAAATGCGCTAATAAGCAGACGTTCCAGCCTAAATTTATAATCTGTCTTTTTCAAAGATGATTCATAGTGAAGAAAGTGGATTTGCCGTCATCGAGATATAGATAACATTTATTGCTAATGATTTTCCCAAAGAAAAACAATCCTATCAGTAAAAAATTAGATATTTTTTTTAATATTTTCGTGGTTAATCAGGGTATGCATATAAATGCCAAAAACGTTACAAATCAGTGATATGTTTACTCCAACCCAAGAACAGAATAATGAACATATACTGAGACACTAGAACATATACTGAGACACTAGAACATATACTGAGACACTAGAACAAATATTAGGACACTAGAACATATATTAAGACACTCGAACAAATACTATGACACTAGAACATATACTGGGACACTAGAACATATGTTCAGACACTAGAACATATAATGAGACACTAGAACATATAATGAGACACTAGAACATATACTGGGACACTAGAACATAAACTGAGACACTAGAACATATACTGGGACACTAGAACATATGTTCAGACAATAGAACATATAATGAGACACTAGAACATATACTGGGACTCTAGAACATAAACTGAGACACTAGAACATATACTGAAACACTAGAACATATACTGAGACACTAGAACATATACGAGGCACTAGAACATATACTGAGACACTAGAACATGTACTGAGACACTAAAACACATACTGAGACACTAGAACATATCCTGAGACACTAGAACATATCCTGAGACACTAGAAAATATACGAGACACTAGAACATATACTGAGACACTAGAATGCATACTGAGACACCAGAACATATACTGAGACACTAGAACATGTACTGAGACACTAGAACATATACGAGACACTAGAAGTGTAAGCATTGAACTGACTTTTGTTGGGGAGGCCAGTGAAGGTGATGCCAAATGGAGTCGTCTTTGCCAGCGCGTAGGTACCAAGGTTAGTTTTCTTCACGCCGCTGTTAGAAAGACAAGGAGAATGTGATGTTAGTGAGTGAGATCGAGTTAACGAGAATGTTAGTGAGTGAGATCGAGTTAAAGAGAATCTTAATGAGACCGAGAGGGAATGACTATATCAGCAAGATCAAGAGAGAATGATGACGTTGTTGAAATAAATATTTAATGATGATGAACAAGATCAGGATGGATCGACAGAGAATTTTGGTGTTAGTGCTATCATGAGTGAACAAGGATGTCTGTAAGATCTGGAAGGAGAGGTTGCGAAAGTTATTTCGACGACGAAATTTTTTTTATAGCCTTGATAAGTAAGAAAGATGAGACATATACTTATTTGGAAATATAGTAAGTGAAAAGAAGATTTGTTAATCAAATTGGGTATGGAATACGAGATGTTATACATGTTATAAATTCATGTTATCGAAATATTTCTTATGAGCATTTATTACGATGTGACAAAGATTATTCTAAGAATTCTTGAACCAATTTGCTGCCGATACGAGCCAAATACGAATAAAAAACGAATTAAATACGAATATAATACGAATAAAATGTGAATAAAATACGAATAAAATGAGAATAAAATACGAATAAAATGCGAATAAAATGCAAATAATTACGAATGAAATACGAATAAAATACAAGTAATATACGAATAAATTACTAATAAAAACGAATAAATTAAGAATAAAATACGAATAAAAACGATCAAATCACGAAAAAAATACGAATAAAAACGAATAAATCACGAATAAAATACGAATAAATTACGAACAAAATACAAATGATATACGAATAAAGAGTGAATGAAATAGGAATAAAATGGAAATAAAACACGAATAAAATAAAAATAAAATACGAATAGACTGCAAATAAAATACGAATAAAAGACGAATAAGATACGAATAAAATAGGAATAAAATACGAATTAAATGCAAATAAATTGCGAGTAAAGTAGGAATAAAATACGAAAAAAACTAATTAAAACGATGAAATTATGAATAAAATACTAATATAATACGAATAAAATCGAATAAATCATGAATAAAATACGTATATATATATAACTAACAAAATACGAATGATGTACGAATAAAAAACGAATAAAATACGAATATAATACGAATAAAATGCGAACAAAATACGAATAAAATACTAATAAAAACGAATATATCACGAATAAAATACGAATAGAAACGAATGAATCACGAATAAAATACTAATAACAAAACTAACTATACGAATATATGATACGAACAAAATACATATGATATACGAAAAAAAGCGAATGAAATAGGAATAAATTACGAATACAATTAGAATAAAATGTGAAAAGATACGAGTAAAATACGAATAAAATATGAATAAAATACGAATATGAAATGAATAAATTATGAATAAAATACGAATAATATACGAACAAAATACGAATGAAATACGAATAAGAC